CTGTATACTCTTGTCTGCTGTAGTTTGATCCTACTATATAAACTCCAATATTACTAAATTATTCCAAATAATTTGTTTCCATATGATCTGTTCCCAGACTGTGGAGTTACCAAGAGTATTATTCATAGGGCTGAGAGGGGCTGATTTAGAGAAGATGCAGAAAAATAGGATGACTAGAAGGGCTTAGAAATCCAGAGTGGAGGGAGGTAGAAGTTATCCTAGGAAAGGTTGGAGGGAGAGGTAATGGAGGTTTTGAGTGACAGGGGCTTGGGCATCTAACAGAGAGAGTGTGAGTGAGTGTGAGAGAGAGTGAGTGTGAGAGAGAGAGTGTGAGTGTGTGAGTGTGAGAGTGATGTGAGTGAGTGAGTGTGGTGGTGTGGTGATGAGAGTGTGGTGTGTGTGTGTGTGTGTGTGTGTGTGTGTGTGTGTGTGTGTGGTGTGTGTGTGTGTGTGTGTGTGTGTGTGTGTGTGTGTGTGTGTGTGTGTGTGGTGTGTGTGTGTGTGTGTGTGTGTGTTTTAGATAGGAGTGGCGGCAAGTGGATTTTATGATTTGACATGCCACTGGAGTTAGCCAGAATTGAGACCTGACAGTGCTGGTATGGTGCCTGCACTCTGAAGGAGGGAAGGAGTGGGGAGGCTGCAGTTTGGTGGGTCAACTGAACTGTGATGTCAGCAGCACCCTTCTTGCATGGCAGTGATTGAATGAGTAACAGTGAAAGTGTTTTCTTCTTTGTCAAATCACCCAACCTTGGTGAGAGAGGCAGGAGTATTAAAAGTACAGTGGACCCCCGGTTTACGATATTATTTCATTCCAGTAGTATGTTCAGGTGCCAGTACTGAACGAATCTGTTACCATAAGGAATATTGTGAATTAGATTAGTCCATTTCAGACCCCCAAACATACACGTACAAACGCACTTACATAATTGGTCGCATTGGGAGGTGATCGTAAAGCGGGGGTCCACTGTACTATTAAATTTAAAAAAAAAAAAAAATTAATGCCCAAGCCCATGTCGTCAAGCACACGAAATTAATTTTCTGCAGAAATTTCACCCTAAGTCACACTCTCATTAGGCCTAAAGTATTTCCTAAAATCTAAGAAGTTCAACGGCATATACAGTGTACCCCCGGTTATCGGCCATAATCCATTCCAGAAGGTTGACTTAAATCTGAAATGGCAAAAAACCAAGTAATATTTCCCATAAGAAATAATGTAAATCCAATTAATCCATTCCAGACACCCAAAAATATTAACAAAAAATACATTTTTTAAAGAATACCTCTAGTTTTACATACAGAAAACAATGAGAAAGAAATATAAAGCAGTAATTTTAATAATAAATGAACATTACAAACCTTTATTGAAGACTCTTGTTGGCATATGGAAGAAGGTGAGGAGGGGAGAGGGAGTTCGGGTTATTGTTTGGAAAGGAAATCCCCCTCCATAAGGACTTCAGATATCAAGTCCCTCTCTGAGGTTAAAAGGACACAAGTGCAACTAATGTGATATTTTTATTGTGGCACTGTTTCGCTCTCCAGAAGCTTTGTCAAGCCGTAACGGTTTGACAAAGCTCCTGGAGAGCGAAACGGTGCCACAATAACAATGTCACATTATTTGCACTCGTGTCCTTTTACTTTACATATTGTCGATAATTCTACCAACTTTATTACACTCTCTGAGGTTACTTCCCTTCTTTGTTTTTTAGTGGCACTAGGACCAGCTGGAGAGTCACTGTACCCCTGTCGCACCAAAAATCTGTCCAGAGAGGACTGTTTCTGGCATCTCTATAAAATTTGCCTAAAATGGGAAAAGACATTGTCATTGAACATGTTGCAGACACGGCTTGCAACAGTTTTGTCAGGGTGATATTTCTCTGCAAAACTTTGCACCTCACTCCACTTTGGACATATGTCCTTAATCACTGAAGAAGGTACATTCTCTCCCTCTCTTCCTCCTCTGAAGCAATATCCTCAGCTGCAGTCTGTTGCTGTTCCTGTTGCAAGACATTGCAGCTCTTCAGTGGTTAGTTCTTCCCTGTGGTCATCCACCAACTCTTCCACATCCTGGCCACTCACATCCAATCCCATGAACTTCCCCAATGAAACAAGATTCCACAATAGGCACAGGGTCGTCAGGGTCAGCCTCAAACCCTTCAAAATCCTGGTTGAGGACACATTCTGGCCACAATTTTCTCCAAGCAGAGTTCAAAGTCCTAGAAATCACTCCCTGCCAAACCTTATCTATAAGGCTTATGCAATGGTCAATTCAGTGTCTGAGGTCACTTCACAGCACCTTTCAAACACTGCTTTGGTGTACAGTTTTTTGAAGTTTAAAATGACCTGCTGGTCCATGGGCTGGATGAGAGGAGTGGTATTAGGGGGCAAGAACTTCACTGTGATGAACTTACACTCCTCAAACAATGGGTCTTCAAAGTCTGGAGGATGAGCAGGAGCATTGTCCAGTACCATGAGGCACTTAAGTGGCAATTTATTTTCCAGGAGGTATTTCTTCACACTTTGACCCACTCAACTAAAATTAGCCTCGTGACCCATGCCTTATTGTTAGCCCTCCACATCACACACAATTTACTCTTCATGACATTGTTTTTCTTGAACACTGGGATTTTCAGAGTGATACACAAGTAAAGGCTTCACTTTGAAATCCCCACTGGTGCTACCACAGAACAAGAGAGTTAGCCTATCCTTCATTGGCTTGTGTCCTGGCAGTACCTTTTCCTCCTTTGTGATGTAGGTCCTCTCTGGCATTTTCTTCCAAAAGAGGCCTTTGTCACAAGTGCACACTTGTTTGAGGAGGAATCCTTCAGCCTCTACATAATCCTTGAATTCATGCATGAATTCTTCAGCCACACGTTTGTCTAAACTTGCAGTCTCATCATGCCTTACAACACTATGCCACTATGCTTCTTGAATCTGTCGAACCAGCCTTTGCTGACTTTAAATTCACTAACAGCAGCACTTGTTCCCGGCATTTTCTTAAAGAGATCCTCACGCAACTGCCTTGCCTTCTCACCAATTATCCCCTCCGAAACACTATCTGCCACTAATTGTTTTTGGTTGATCCACACCAACAACAACTTCTCCATATCCTCAATAGTTTGAGACCTCTGTTTTGTTAGCATATTTACACCTTTCGCAACATCAGCTTCCTTGATTTCTGCTTTCTTCAACAGGATGGAACTGATTGTTGATGAAGATTTACCATAAATCCTGGCCAACTCCACCACACGTATGCCACTTTCATATTTTGCAATAACTTCTATAGTGTTTCTCACCTTCTTTACCAAAGAGCTGGCACTCTGAGCTTTCTTTGGCTCCATGGTGGCTTATTTCACAGTTGCAATCAATAAACAAGCTCTAAAAACAATGGATGAGTGTGGAGAGTATTCCTACCCCAATGAGAGAGATGTACAGACAGTATGATACGCCTGAGGAAGCGCATTGCCAGCAGGTGGACGTGTCTCATATGAACAGATTTCCGAATTGGCCGATTTCTGCACTGGCCTATATCCGGGGGTCCACTGTACTATACTTGTTAAGTATTCACTGAGCTTGTCACCCCAGTGTTCACATACACTATACAAACTATCACCTCACCAACCTACTATATCACTCAATGTTGATATAAAATTTAACTGCAGTTTCCCTATTATTAAAAAAATGTATAGTAGCTTGCTATTATTCTTAGTAAAAAATATTTTATTCTCAAATGCAAACAGAAAACACACAACATTGCTAGTGCCATGCTGTATGGTGTAAACATGTGACTTCTGTGAACCAGCCGGCAAGAAGACAGAGGCAAAAAAAAAAAAAAAGGTAGGTGCATAAGAGGCAGAAGATAAAGAAAGAAAAAAATGAGTGAGAGTGTGTGAATGTGAGATGGAAGAAAGGACAGAAAAGTTAAAGGAATAAGGATAGAGGGCAGGAGAAGGGAGAAAAGAGGTCAAGGGTAAGGTAAAGAGCATGGAATGAAGGTGTATAAGATATTGATAAGAGGAATAGCAAATAGGGCAAATGGATAATGAAGGGGTGGGGGGGAAAGGGGTGAAAGGAAAGCAGAAAGGGAAGATAAGGGGTGTATGTGCATATGTGTATGTGCATATGTGTGTGGCATGCATGTGCCAGTGTTGAACTGCCTAGCAATCATTACCATACACATCTAAAGATAAGATTGGCTCAACAATAATGGTGTCCCATTTTCAATTAATATACATTAATATACATTATTTTATTTTTTTTTAGAATTCCATTTGCAAAACTTTCCCGAGTTCATTCAG